GTTGTGGAAGTGCGGGGTTGTGGAGGTGCGGGGTTTTGGGGTTGTGGAGATGCAGGGTTGTGGAGGTGCGGGGTTGTGGAGGTGCGGGGTTGTGGAGGTGCGGGTTTATGGGGTTGTGGAGGTGCAGGGTTGTGGAGATGCGGGGTTTTGGGGTTGTGAAGGGACTCATAATTATGGGTTGGGGAATCATGGTTACAGGATGGGGGACTCCTGGTTATGGGATGGACGGCTCACAGTTATGGGATGGGGGACTCAGGTTATGGGATGGACAGCTCATGGTTATGGGATAGAGAGCTCATGGTTATGGGATGGGGGACTCATAGTTATGGGATGGACGGCTCATGGTTATGGGATGGGGGACTCAGGTTATGGGATGGGGGACTCAGGTTATGGGATAGAGAGCTCATAGTTATGGGATGAACGGCTCACGGTTATGGGATGGGGGACTCATGGTTATGGGATGGACAGCTCATGGTTATGGGATAGAGAGCTCATGGTTATGGGATGGGGGACTCAGGTTATGGGATGGACGGCTCACGGTTACGGGATGGACGGCTCATGGTTATGGGATAGAGAGCTCATGGTTATGGGATGGGGGACTCAGTTTATGGGATGGATGACTCAGGTTATGGGATGGACGGCTCACGGTTACGGGATGGACGGCTCATGGTTACGGGATGAGCACTCGGGGTTTTGGGCTCTCCTCACCTCGGCGTTGAAGAGCACAGCCAGCACCACGTAGCACACGCTGCTCCCCAGGCGCACGGGGACGGGGGGCTCGGCGCTGCCCCCCACGTCCCACGCCTTCCCGCCGAGCACCGCTTCCATCTCCTCCGCAGCATCGCCCATCCTTACGGGGTCGCGGGGTTTTGGGGCGGCGTCGGGGGGATCCTACAGGAGTGCAGGCGGCCGCGCTGCCACGCGTCGCTGGGTTGGCAGGGCGGGGGCTGCGGGGGGTGCGGGGGGCATGGGGGGACGGGTCTGCTGGATTGGGGGGCGTAATAGGGGAAGGGCTGCAGGGCGGCGGGGTAATAGGGGAAGAGGTCGGGGGGCTTCACGAAGCACGGAGGGGAGCAGTAGGGGAAGGGGCTGCCGGATTGGGGGGTGCACGGGGG